AAAGATAGCTTAGGATCACCTACTTCAATTGAAAAAAAAATTGAATCCATGAAACTTGGGCAACTCCGGGAATTAAAAAAAGCGCAACCCATGGCAACAGAACAAAAAAGTTGACTGACCATTTTAAAATCAAAAAATAACCATTAAAATAATTTAAATTTCACTATTTTCTTTACATTTTTGAATTCAGCACCCTCCAAAATGGTCAGGTACCAATTTTTAGCCACATTATTCCACTAAATCTTAAATTATTTATTAAATAGTACAACTACAAAATTCATAATGGCAGACTTGACAAAAAATGGAACATTTTAGGCTGAATTTCAAAACGTCATAACGTCACTTTTGAACCATATGGATTTGGGAGCTCAAATTTTACATTTTTTCATGTTTTATTGTTATGTACCACTGGGTAAAATTTAAAGAAAATCCAAGAGGTGACTGAAATGACTGTCCCAGTTTTAAATGGAATTACCCAATGCAATATTAAATTTAATTATTTAATGTTAAAAAAGAAAAAAAAGTAAAGAAAATAAACATTCCCTAATAAAAAAATCGTTAAATAACTCGTTTTGCAGTAATTAATATTATTGGAGTAATTTAAAAAGTTAATGTCTTTAAAAAATAAAAAAAATTAAGAGCAATTTATGACGTCAAATATCGCATCAAGCTAATAAATATTTTAAATAAAAATAGCATCAGGCAATTTTTATTTTAAAAAAGGCATTCTGTATATTTTTTTTCTTAACACTGAAAAAGTTATAGAAAAAAGTAATAAAGTAGACAAAAAAAAATCTTTCCCTATTTCTACGGCCTTTTTTTATGACAAAATCCACATTAGTCAAATTATAAACAAGTTAGTAAAATATGCTATATTATTTTGGATATCAAACTTAGTGAAGTATCTAAAGTAAGGTGGATCAGCTCTCCCCTATTAATATATCTTTCTTTAAGATAAGGACAAGTGAGAAAAACAAAATTAACACAATATTAGACTTTTTTAAAATTAGTAACAAATTGTTTAAAAATTCTATCAGCTGTGTTTGGTGATAAAGCAGTTTTCTTTTCCTCTTGCCTACTTCGCTTGTAAAAATAGTTAAACAAGAACAAATCCTATCTTTTCTGCTCTTTGGTTGTTTTACCAATCTGTTCTTTAACTAGTTTAATGGCCCTCTCTGATGAGTCATTGACCACATCAAGGAACTAAATAATAACTTCAATCTTAAGATAAAAATATTTCAGTTTCTGAACTATTTTTATCTACCATCCAGAACTATGAAGAGATCTTAAGCCAATGCAACTCACTCCATGTCTAATCTTATCAAAAATAAGCCAAGGTTGCTCAGTTACTAGAGCACTAAGAGGTTGCTCAGTTACTAGAGCACTAAGAGCACTAAGACTGATTTTGTGCAAAATTTAGCGAGTGAAAAAGCTCTTTATTGACCATAACACATTCAAGTGGATATACTTTTTGCAGGATTTTGCAGGAAGTGTACTGTACAATGCTTTGGCAATATCTTTTCTGTTTGAGCAATGTTCATCTGCTAAAGCAAGCACAACTAAGGCAGAATAAAGATACCAGCTGTCTAGTCTTTTTTGATGACTTTTTTTATTAAATATAAAAAGATTTATAAAAAAAAAAGTGTTTTTTTTTAAATAAGTCATTGTGAGAATAAATATAGAAAAAAAATTTAATATAATAATGTTGAAGGGTGGATCAAAAATGTCACAAAAGGTAAAAAAAAAAAAAAAAAAAAAAAAAGTACTTTATGGTGTGCCACTTAAATTTTTTTTAAATTTAAAAAAAAAATAAAATCTTCCATATAAAACAAGGGTTTGCGGGACTTATAAGCTTCCACTCTAGTTTGAAAAAAATTTTCAACTTAATCTGAACCCCCCTAATATATACAGTGTTGGCGAAAAGTATTGCAACTTTTAAAAAAAACATGCATTAAACAAATACACAAGAGTATTATTAAAAGAAGTGTTCATATATAAATATCTAGTATTTAGAAGGCTGTCCATGGTTTTTCAACACACATTTGATACGGTTTGGCATCGACTGAACCAGTTTTTGACAAAGATCCGGGGTGATTTCGGTGCACCACACCTTCTTAATGTTGTAAATGAGTTCTTTAATGCTTTTATTGTAATATTTTCTTACTTTTCTTTTCATCACTGTCCAGAGATTTTCAATTGGATTCAAATCTGGACTGTTGGTCAGTCCAGAACTTGAATCCCATTGTCAGTTAGCCACTTTTTTACAACTTGATTGGTATGGCATGGTGCCGAGTCTTGTTGAAACAGTTCACAACAATGCAAGCACATGGCTAGGGGTAGTTTTGAAATTAAAATCTTTAGGTATTCAACAGAGTTTACCATCTGTTTTGCTGGTATAAAGTATAGAGAGACTTGCCCATTGCTGAAAAACATCCCCAATTCATAATTTGGGGTGAATGTTTAACTGTCGGAACGAATATCATCTCGAGATCCAACTGGTCTACGTACATACTGCGTGACAGATCCAAACTGCAGAAATGTAGACTCGTCGGAAAACAACACCTTGGACCATCTTACTGCATTCCAGTCCTTATATTTATTACAAAATGGAACTCTTTTCTGTCACTGCTGCTTAGATAGCAGAGGTTTGCGTGATGGACGTCGAGCTCTTAAACCAAACGAACACAGTCGGTCACATATTGTTTGTGTACTCGCACCGCAACCAGTCTAGTTTTATTTGAAGACTTGAATAAGTTGGATTTCTGACTGCAGAGCGTCGGAATAGAGAGTCATCACGTGTTGTTGTTACTCTGGGTCGTCCAGAACGTTTCAGTGGTAATGCTGACCCAGAAGCTTAATTATTTGACTAACTGAAGACTTAGTTAAACACAATTTCTTAGAAATATCTTGCTGCTTCATACCATCCTTTGAATATTGAAGAATAATCCCACGTTTTCTTGGTGAAATCTCCTTTGCCAGACCCATTAGGATTAAACTATACCTCTTAAAAAGCAAAAAAAAATGAAAATTTTCTATGTTATTCGCAAGTATGGTTTCGTAAGAAAAATCTATAACGCAGCACATTTAACTATAATGACGTCATTATGTTTTTGTGTAAACAATTTTATGTTTACATAGTGTGCTGCTGTTTGGTTTTATCATTTTTGTATGAATATATGATATATAAACATCAAATTTATATCAGATCTCTTCAAATGGAACATAACCTTAAGCCCAAAAATTAATACTGTAAACCAGGTAATTTTGCATTTCATTTATTCAATTAAATTTTACATAAGGAAATTTTGCATTTCATTTATTTAATTTCTGTTGAATTGTAATAAAGTTTGTGACAATGAAATGATGATGTAGTGTTTGTTAAAATCTTTTAATAAACAACATTGTTAACAGACAAGTTATTAATAGCAATTGGAATCTCACCAATCAAAGTTCATGGAGTTGCATTAACATGTTGTAATAACAAAAAAGTAAATTAGTTAAAGTCGATACAAAAATGGATAAAGGAGTAGCAAATATTTACAAAGTAAATGTAGATAACTTTTTTTCAGCCATCCTACTTATAAAAAAAGCAAATAATCTTAATCAATTTTATTGAAAGAAATAAAAAAAAGATGAAATCTTTTGATTGGTTTTATTTCAAGTTTAATTTTTGAAAATACGTAATATCTTAGTCTTGAAAATATCCAAGCTGGAAGCTGGAAGCAGCATGAAGTTTCTAAACATTATATGCAACATGAAAAACTTAAATATGAAAATAGGACTCTTGACATACTTGTTAAAAAGTTGGCTAAAAATATCTAAATTTCTTTGGTTCAAGATTTTTTTCAACAAATGAATATTTAAATTAAAGCCTGGTAAAAAAGATTTTTTTTAATGTTAAAGGGTCCTGTTAATGTTAAAGGTGGTCCTGCACAACAAAAAAGCAACCTTAGAGAACTTTATATTGATTGTAAAATTAAACACATTTATTTTAAAATAAAAACTTCAGAGCTTTGTAGTTTGCATCCAAAATTGTGTGCATGGGACCAGGTGGTAGTGGGACCAAGTGGTATGTGTTACTGATGTGTTTGTACTCACCATTAAAACTCAATATTGTTTGTAAATGCTATCCAATAGAATGTGACATAAAAAGATTTAATGTCAAAATTTACACGTTATACAAACAATAATGAATGCATGGTTCATAAATGTGTCAAATGTGCTTATGTTTTGACAGCTTAAAGACATTTTTAGATGAGGAAATAAGTGATATTGATGAAGAAAAAGAAATCCAATTTAATCAGGGGGCAAGTACTGATCCTTTAGTTTAGACTCCTTTTAGTGGGCAGAAATGGTTACAAAAATAAATACTACTACATTAATCTCTGTAACTACATTTCAGTTATACAACTGTCATGTTACCACTTTTTTTTGTTTGATTTTTTAAAATTCATGTTTTACAAGCGATAAATTTAAGTACATTTGTTTTAGAAAACACCAATCCCAATTCCTTAAAAAAAACTCCAACTAAGCTATTCAGAACAACTTCATTTTTCAAAAAGAATTTTTGAAAACAGAATTTTTGTTGGTTCAAGGTAAAGTTCATATATTTATATTTTTTAAACTTTGGGGATTTATTCATTATTTGGGGATTCATAATTTATCAAAAACATAATTACAAATTATGATTTTAATCATAATTGATATTTATTATAAATTATAATATAATAATTTTTAACTATGGATTAGTCATAATTATTAAAAAAGTGTTGTGAAATCAGCAGAATCTGACACTTAACATTACATTTTCTAAAAAATTTGATATTTTCACATAAGAGACAGTCTCTTTATTAGAAAGTATTTTTTTAATACTTAAATCTGATTTAAAATTAAATACTACTTTTTATAATAATTTGCAATGACTAACAGCCTTATTAAAAAATAAGTAAAATACTAGAATAGTTTTATGTAATTTAAATAACTCCTATGAAGAAACATACTTGCATGTGGATAGTAAACTTCATCTTTATTTTCTTTCGAATGCTTGCCAGATACAACAGTAACCTCAATGTTATCCCAAGCTTTTTTTGTTTGTCTGTTTGGCTTAGAGTTTGGCAAAGTGAAGTCCTTTCCGAAATCAAAATCATCTTTACGCTTCCTACGCTTCTTTGATGAAATGTCATTTCCAGCTCTGAAGTCAAAATTTTCAATATCAAAATCATCAGGAAGATACTGCAACATTTGTGGCTTCGATCTACATTTTTTGCCTTCCGGACTAAAAACAGAAAATAACATTTAAAAACAAAAAAATTCTATTTTATAAGCAACTTATCATTATTTGATAATAACAGAATAATTCTTCTTATTACAACAAAGATTTGTTATGTTTGACTCATCAAATAAAAAAAAACCAATTTGACTAAAAGTCCACCACAAATGTTTTCTTTGGAAAAAATTGAAGTATATCTAATATCAAAAATAAAACCTCAAAAACATGCTTCAAAGTAATATAAAACTGCCATAAAATTCATACACAACTTACCTCAAATGCAGCTCAAAAATACAATGCTGACTTAAGTGACAAGAGATTCAGATGCAAAAACTTTGATATATTATTATAGCAAATATGCCTATCTATGAATTAAAATGTTTTCAATAGTTTTTATTGGGCCAAAAGCTTAGTTATTCGCACTAAAGTGAAAAAATTTTTAAAAAAAGTTGTTTTTGTAAACAACTATGTCTTTTTTTATACAGCTTCGTACAAAAACAACTATGTTTACAATAGTTTGAGTATAAAAGCTGTATCAGAGATTTTTCAACCACGCGTAGATTTTTTTAAAGATTTGGTTTGATTTTTTGATAGTTAAGAGATCAGAAGTTTCTTCAAATACAAAGTCTTAAACAAATCAATTACTCAAACAAATGATTGCTTATATATATGGTTGAACAAAATAAACTTTGTTTAGCTATATCTCTAAGCCATCTATTTTATCTTCAATCTATATCTGATTGAGCCTGATTAATCTGTTCAGTAAATTATTGAAATTCTACATTTACTGGGAATGAAATGGCTGATTCAGGTGTTTTAAAAAAAATTTACACTGGTGATGAGGGTGGTTTTTGCTTGTGAATGCTTGGGGCTCACTCAAATTTATTTTGTTGCATACAAAAATAAATATACCTTTTGTTTTAATTAACACTTAAAAACAATGTGATAAGAACTCTTTTTGCATTAGAAATAAGGAACTGTTTTGATGCCCATTTCTCCCATATACTGCCAAAAATATTTATAAATTCCACTTGATTGTTGTTTGGGTTAAAAAAAGATCTCTTAGCATTTCTGTATTTGCAATATTGTTTTGTTCAGCAACTAAGTTATGATGTTGAGCAACTTTATTTAGGTTCAGCAACTAAGTTATGCTGGTAGTGTCCAAAAAAGGTACATTAAAACAATATAATTAAATTGTGAACTATTAGATAATAATACAGCAGGTCATTTTATCTTTACTTAGTAATGTAACTGTTAATTTCTTAACAAGCAGCCTTTAAAGTATCTTTAACTTACATCTTGTTTTAAGATAATGTAACAAAGAGATGCCTAATTTTTTCTGCTTGTGGCACCATCACAAACACAATCTCATCATAAAGATTATCGCGATGAAAATGCCATCCTTTGATACACCATCAACTACTTTTTAGTATCTTTCATATTACCAACTTTAAGCTCTATTGCAAGATCAAATAATTACAAGCTATTTCACTGTGTGCAACTGTTTTCATGGTTTTTTAGAGTTAAGCATGAGTGTTTGGTATGGAATCACAACCAAAATGAACAACTAAGTCTGAAACAACAAAAATATCTAATGGAAATTACTGTAAATGACTTGCATTAGTATAGGAATAAAATTTACATTAGTATATATAAAAAAAACAAATGCAAAAAAAGGAAAAATTATGTAAATGTTATTCCATACAGCAAAACTTTATCTCTATACTCGTACAAAAACAACTATTGTAAACAGTTGTTTTTGTACAAATGTACTAGCTGTATCAGAGATTAAGTTAGTTTTTCTATCACATGTAGATTTTTTTCAAGATTTGGTTTGATTTCTTGATAGTTAAGAGATCAGAAGTTTCTTGAAAAGAGAAGAAAAAAAAAAATTAGACTGAGTCTCTTCTTCAAGTGTAAAAATACTACAATAGCGATGTTTCTTACCTGGGAAAAATTATGATATCAAATTCACTTAAATCAGCATCCTCTAAAAAAGTGATTACCTACTAATTTAACTTTTTATTGATTATTTCTCTATCTTTAATTACGAAGACAATTTAGTCTTCAAGGCCTTATGACCTTGCACATTGTGGTCAATCTAAATTTTTACTACTACTTAGTTCTTTGCAAACTTTGTGAATTTTCTTGTGATTAATGCCTCTGCCTTGCTTTTTGCATCCTAAGTTGAAATTTCAACTCATTTCTATACTATATATTTTTCTAACTCTATTCAATCAAAAAATTAATTGCTAAACTTTTTAAAGTATATCATTTGCTTGTCTAAATATTAAAATTAATTGCTTTGCTTTTCATAGCTCAAACACAGAGTTTAATAAAAGTCTTCAAGTTTTATTCATTTGAAAATTTTATTGATTTTTAACATGCAAAAAATCTGATATAAACAGTTTTAAACATCTTTTAACTTATAAACGCTTTATAAGTTAAAAGATGCAGTTTGTATCTTTTAACTTATAAAGCGTTTCAATAATTTGCGACAAAAAGCTCAACTTATCTACTTAGAAAAATCAAGAAATATCAAGTTAAATTAAATAAAATAGAAAACTTAATAATTAAAAAAGTAAATTAATTTTTTTTTTATATAAAACTTTTATACAACTTTTGTATTCTTTTTTTTCGAGTCGTTGCTGAAAAAAAATCTTTTATAACGATTTAACCAGGCCTGTGGAGTCAGAGTCGCAACATTTTTAGCAGAGTCAGAGTCGCTAAACAAAATCCTGACTCTGACTCCAATAGTAAAACTTTTTGGTATTGCACGTGCATGTATAAAATATTCAATTATCCTTATATTCATACTAAACCTTGATAGAACTTTTCATAAATTTGGCAAAAAAAAATTTTATTTTATCGCGTAATATTTTTAAAAGAATTCAAAGAATTTTCCAAAAACTTTGCTTTATAGTCGGAGTTAGAATCCTACTTATATTTTTTAATTTCAATGAATGGAGTTGGAGTCTTCACTTTTTTTTAACAACTCCACAGCCCTGGATTTAACAACAATTGAAAGTCTTGATATGCAATTTATTCACAATTTTTATCAGTCCATATAACTAAGAAACTAATTTGCTATGTACGCTAGAACTATAAGAAATTTTGTAAATTTTTTTTTTTTTTACGTGTATTTGTTTATTACGTCTTTTCGCTTTTAAAAATGTTTTAGCTATATTTAACGTTTTTTCTCAATACTTATATTATAGGAAAATAAGAAAATGAATTGTTATTTACTTGTAAAAAATATTATTTGATTATTAAAATTAAAAAAATAAAGTTAAATAAAGAATAACATAGTTTCTTAAATAAATGTATTTACCGCATTTGATACATATCTGAAATTGTTTTTTTTATATTGCCCTATTTCCATTCAATGTTAATACAAAGTGCTAGAGATATAATGAACATAACGATTGCTCTGTTTAAAAAAATGTATTTAAAAACTTGAAAAAATGTTTAAAATCGGCTCCTAAAAATTTTGTTTAAAAAGTTCAGTAAATTAACAATGCACTAGCCCACAAGATTTTGGACTGCTGTCATTTTTTTTACATGAAAAACTTGTTTAAAAAAAATAAATTTTTTACAAATAAATAGCAATTATTTTTCTCGCTTTCCTGTGCATTGATAAAAACAATAAAGTTTAGCAAAGACATTTGAAAAACAAATTAAAAAATTGTCCGTGTTTCTAGCACAAATTATATTATAAGTATTTTCTTAATATACTGACTGAAAAAATCACAAAAAAATTGTATATCAAAAAAAAAAAATTTTTGGTTATATTTTTATCTACTTTTTTCCCAACTTGTATCAACTTTGGTAGTGGAAAATAAAAAACGCCCTAATAATAAGAAAACAAAAAGAGTAAAATATTTAAGTATATTATTTTTTTGGACAACAATTTTTTTTTAAGTATTTTATTTTTTTCAACTTATTTTATTTAGATTTTCTATTTCGTATAGTCTTTGGTTCTTTTCTTCGAGTATTTTTTTATTTTATTTTATTTTAATTCACCTCCTCAAGGCCGAGAAGGCCACTACAGACGAGGAGGCTACTTATTTGTGGTTATAACCCTCTCTCAACTCTATAACTCCGAAACACGAACCTTGACGAACAAGGCCGCTGCGCGGAGAAAGGAGTCGAGCGCGGTACTACCAGGGATGTGGTGGTGATCGAACTCAGAACCATTTGTTTATGAAGCGAGCGCTCTAACACTACACCACTACCGCATTGCTGTTTTATTCTCTAGTTTTTTTATAGCTTTATTTTGCTGCAAATTCTTAAAATGCTTACTATATAAAAATGTGGTCAAGTTGTCTTAAAAAATTACTTTAAGCGTGGACGAACAAGGCATGGGACCACATGCGCTTTCCGGGAAGGTACATATACTTTTATTGTCAAATACTTTAATAAAAGCCAACAAAACATCAAATATATTGTTACTTGACATTTAACTCTAACTTACTTGACATTTAATTCTAAGTTTGAATATAACTACCATAGGTGAAAGTCAATAGCTTGATAGTTTGTAATAAAGTGGAAATAATAGCTTTTTAGAATTTGATGTCCAAGCGTCATCTATCTCAAATGCTTGAATACTCTGGAGATCTTATTTAACAGTATTAAATAATACCACGTGGTATTAAATAATACGTTTTGAAAAAGTTGACTTCCTTACTCCACAAATAACAGTGCATGCTACTTTGCACACACACACACACACACACACACACACACACACACACACTAAATGTTGAACAGTGCTGATTGTTTCCGTTATTTCATTCACAGTACTTAATTACCACTTGCTGTTGTCTAATGGTCAGGCCTTGTTATGAGATCTTATTGTATAACAAAAGCGTGTAACGCAAATAAATGTAACTTTACCACAGCTTTAGCATTTATATTGTTAATAATTAAATTGCGTCATCAAGATTTTTTTTGAAGTAATTGTAATTATACTTAACTTTAAACCCTGTTAAAAATCATTTAAACTAATTTAACTATTATGATATTGAATTAATAAGAAACATAAAATACATTAGATACATTTGTGAAAAGAATTCTCTTTAAAAAAACATCTGCTTTTTATAAGAAAAAAAGTTTTTTTTCTTTTTGGCATTTAATCTATGATGGAGAGACTTATGTTTTATGTAATGAATTAGCAGATGATAATAAAAAATTTCTTTAATAAATATTGCGAAAACTATTTTACATTCCTTTGAAACTAAATTTTACATTTTCAGTTTAACTATTCTTTACATTTTTTTTTTTTTTTTTTTTGTATTTAGGTGCTCCCAGAAGTCCTTACGGTCTTATCATAGAGCACCATGGTACAGCATTTAACAAGAAGTTCACGCCTCCTTCCGTACCTATGTCGCTTGTTGGGCTAGAGCTGGCGTCGAACCTCGAACCTCTGGGTACTGAGCCAGAACTCTAACCACTGCGCCACGGCTGCTCATTCCTTCATAACTAAATCTAAATTTTTATAATCATATCTAATTTAAAGTCTTTTTTAAATTTTTAAAATCTTAATTAATTTAAAGTCTTTTAAATTAAAAAAATAAAATTTATAAAATACTTTTACTTTAAAATATCAGATTGAGCAATTTGTAATGAATTGGTGATAATGAGCACACCTTATACAACCGACCAACTTGCAGCTCTAGCAGCCAACTGGTTAAATGTTTGTTTTTTTTATCTAATATTTTTTGAATAAACTACATAAATGATATTAGAAGATAATTTAGATATTTCTGAATATAAAAGTTTTTGCTTAAGGTAAAACTGCTGAATATGTACGCAAAATCGTATTTTTGTACATGAAATGCAAGCTGCTTAACAATTATTAACAAGCCCTGATTGGTGAGCCATTGTTCTATCCAATTGATTTATAACCCACCAATGCCATATGCTATACAGGAGTCAACGGTGTGATACCTTATCAAAACCTTTACTAGTCATTATAAATTGTATTGATAGCATTACCTTAGTGAATAGCTTTAGTTAAGATATTTCTCAGCTTAAGTAGATCTGTGACACAGCCTCTTTCATTTATGAAACCATGTTGTTCTTTGGTGATAAAGCTATTTTTGTTGCAAAATTTTATAATTGGATTGTGTATGATGCTCTCAAGGAGTTTGCAGGGTATGGATGTAAATGAAACAGGATGATAGTTTGATCTTTGTGTTCTGGACCCTTTCTTGAAGATAAGCCTAATGTTTGATCTTCTACAGAGGTCTGGAACAAATGCTATCTTCAAGCAACTTATGGTGTAAATGGTGTAATGAGAGTAATTGTGCATAGTTTTAGGACTCTTGGGTGAAGGCCATCAAAATCCATTGATTTGGATTGTTTAAGGCATTCCAGCATGTGTTGGCCATCAGTAAATTCAATATTGTAATCATACATGTTGCAAGTTGGTTTATATTTTGAACTTTGGAAGTTTGTCGTTTGAGGCTTCTATAGCAAATACAGATTGAAAGTAACTGTTAAGAATATTTGGTAACAATATTTTGTTTGTGACTATTTTATCTCCTAGTGATTTAACTATGATTCAAATGGTTGTGAAATGGGATTAAAACCACTTAAAGCCTTGAAACCACTGGCAATATATCTCTTGTAATTTGCAATGCGGTAGTGGTGTAGTGGTAGAGCGCTCGCTTCATAAACGAGTGGTTCCGAGTTCGATCCCCACCACGTCCCTGGTAGTACCGCGCTCAACTGGTTTCTCCGCGCAGCGGCCTTGCTCGTCAAGATTCGTGTTTCGGAGTTATATAGTTGAGAGAGGGTTATAACCACAAATAAGTAGCCTCCTCGTCTGTAGTGGCCTTCTCGGCCTTAAGGAGGTGAATTAAAATAAAATTAAAAAAAAAAAAAAACTGCTTCTCGCACAATAATATGCACATTCTTGCACAATATTTTATACTCTTATAATAATTTAAACTTCGTTTGCTTTGTGAGTCTAAATCCCAGTATTTTTCCCAAAGGCTGCATTTATATTTTACTGCTTCTCATACTTGTGGAGTAGTCCAAGGTCCTTTATTATCAGTGCACAGTAGTTATATGGATTAAATAAAAAAAGTTTTGTCACCTCAAGCAGCCTTGAGGTGACAAAACTTTAAAGCTGGATGGTGAGCGTGACTTGATTTTGCGTTGCCCAAGGCTTCATTAGGTATACTTGCTCAATTTCTTTGGAGTAAGATAGTTTTATACTAGTTTCAACTGTGGCAATACTATTTTTTTATATATATAGTTACACCTCCACCTTTTTTTTACGTTTGCTACAGTATAGTTGGTAACCAGTAAGTTGCGTATCTGATTTGTATGCGAACCAAGTTTCTGCATAAAATTACTGAACTTAGTATTAAAGTAGTGATTTGTTTATTAAGTCCTGACCATTATATAATTCATTCAGTTTTTTTATAATTAAAAAAAAAATTTATTGTTCGTTTTTATGTAGTTTCTATAGTTTCTATCTATTTATCAATCTATCTATATATCTATCTTATAAAAAGCCTTATGAAAAAAACATTAAATAAAGCTTATTGTCTTAGAACATGTTTGAATAGAATTCGATTTTTAGTTGAAATATTGAAATAAGAATTGCAGTAAAAATAAGCTAATATAAAATAATAATAATAATAATAATAATAATAATAATAATAATAATAAAAGTTAGACATTAAGGAATATTTAGTATTATTTTTTAATAAAATTGAAAAACAAATAAAACTTCCTTTTTTTTTAATTTTACATAATTGTCATAAACATCTTCTCTTTCTCTCTCTTTCTATATATATATATATATATATATATATATATATATATATATATATATATATATATATATATATATATATATATATATATATATATATATATATATATATATATATATATATATATATATATATATATATATATATATATATATATATATATATATCTTATACTGCTGAGTTAGGTGAGCATGATGATGTCATACTCACCTAACGTCAAGTAGCCTGCTGTAAGTAGAATCATTTTCTTTTAGTGAACTAAGAAAATAATTCTAAAAATTTTTACATTATTATACAGTATACTTTACTTTTTTTTATGCAATTATAAGTTTTTACCAGGAATTTTTAGAAATCCGAAATATCACATTTTCCAAACATTTCAGAAAATTTCAGAGTGTTTTTTGCTATTGATTTGTAAAAAATTTGGTAATTTTTTCTGAAAATTATTTACTTTTTCACAAATCAATAGCAAAAAACACTCAGAAATTTTTGGAAACTGAAAAGGAAATTTGAGTGAATTTTCGGAATTTCGAAAATTCCCCCAAAAAACTCGAAAAAACTGTGATTTTGATTTTTTATTGTTATTTTATACCTGTAATAATAAACATCTGATTTTCCAGCAGATGCACCAGATTTACGAATTACAACTTCTTTTACCCATCCTGTTGGCAAGTTTGAACAAGATGTGCGAATTTTATCCATGAACCATTGAGATGAAATTCAAAATTGATTTGTTAGCTGAGACAAAAAAATAAAGTTTAAGAAAAAATTTAATAACTGAACTCTAAACTTTAACTAATGCATATTGAAAAAACTAGATAATAAGCTTTAAATAATAATAGATCAAAACTAGGGCTTTTATGTCAAGTTTTAAGTAAGCATGTTCAGTTTTGAAACTAAAGATGTTTACTTAATACTTAACATAAAGAATATCACTCAAAAAAGAGCATCAGACTTTAAAATAAAAATTTTCAACCATTTTTAAGTGCTGTTGTTAACATATATAACACATTGTTTATAAACAAAAATATCAAATCTAAACTTTATTTGCAAATAAACACAACCAGTTTTAATTAAATTTTCGAAATTTTTTTTAACAAATATAATAAATATATTAATTATCATGAAAAATACCTATTATTATTACTTAAAAGAAATTATATATGATATCTTTTATACTATATCATATTCTATAAGATATAGTGTAATATCATATTGTATGATATAGTAAAATAAATTGATTGAGTTGTTGCTACATTAAAACATTAGTATAAACAATTTTATCATGCTTGTTTAAACTAAAAAATTTTATGAAGACTGTGAACATGGCGCAAATTAGTTTTTAAAAGGTTATAAAAATAAAAATAAACAATAAAATTTTGGTACCTTTTTTCAGAAAACAAAAGTTTTGAAAAAGTAAAACTGTTCTGCGAAATACCTCATCGGACCATACTGTACAACGTCTGATAATGTTTTAACCGGATTTATTGCCTATAAACCGGTAATAAGTTCGGTAGAAGTTTTAAATTAGTTGTGTATACTGAGTAGCAAATTTTAGGGAAGCAAATTTCTGTAAACATTTATTTTTCTTAAGCGTAGCCGGAATCCGGAACTCGTACGACGATCGGAGATTCAGTGTAATTATACCATATAGAAAACCATGTGACAATCCGTTATATATTAAACCATCCTCCAAATATTCTTAAATCTATTCCTACAATGATATCTAACCGTATAAGTAATATTTCCTCAAAATAAAGAAGTATTTAATTGAGCCGCTTCTTGAGGAATGTCTGCATCTTCGGGAACGGATTTCGCAAAAATGATCTAGTAGAATTATATCCTAATGTAGATAGAAATATTTAAAGGTATGACAGTGACTAATTCTACTGCCGAACGTTCGTTTTTTTTGTGTCAAAAGAATTAAAAATTACTTAAGGAATAAAATTTCAGAAGATTGATTAAATGCTTTAGCTATTTTATCGATTGATTCTGATATTAGTCGTTCTAAAATAGATTTTGATTAATTTCATCTTTGAAAATTTGAATTAATCAAAATTCTTTTATCTGATGCAATAATGGTTGAAATTGTTAAAGCCATAAAAAGGGCTATAGCAACATTTAGAATGACAGCATTCAAACCATGATCATAAATAAAAGGCAAAACATCAATAAAAGACAAGACACTCGCAGAAACAATGTTAAAAAATATTTACAATTTATTGAACAAATCCTTGGGATCATTATCTTAACCAGATGTATCTGTGAGCGCAATATTCACACCTGCACAATATTTTATCAAATGATTTTGATGTAACTCTAAATTTTTTTGATATTGTGCAGAAATCCAAAAAGAATCGAAACATATTGCTAACGGCATAACTCGTTGATGTAACAAAACATTAAAAATTTTGACTTAATATTTTTCTTTGGATCTGCCAATCAGGTCTTGATTTACACCCTCGGGGGTCCTAGGTGGAATCAATTTTTAGAGCCCTTAAAAATATTTTGAATATAAATTATTATATAGTATATATAGTATTAACCTTTTCGTTGTTTGATTTGTATCTTCAATTCTTAAGTTTAGTGCTACAGCATTTATATAGATTTGTTCAAGAATTCCTTCGTGCAAAAAGAATTCTAGAACAAATCTCCACTCTTTGAGGGATTTGATGTTGCAATAGCTAATTATTGAAAAAGTAGAACTTTACAAAATGTTAATAATTGTTCAGATGAAATTGTTATGTAGTGCAACATCATAACTACTATATTGCTGATTGCTAATAATTGTTAAACATACTAATTGCTAAAGCAATAATTAAAATCATGGAACTAATATGTGTTAAAGCGCGAAATGAATTTGCTTTATGGATAATTCACAACCAGCTAGAACACTGGAGATATTTTTACAATTGTTGTATTAAATTATATTATGCTATCATTTAATTGTGAGCTTAATTTTTAAATCTGAGATCAATTAATAGCAAAATATTAATATTTTGGCTACTATTTCCATCGCTTGAATCTTTATCTTCCGTGCCAATGACTTCTTCGTGATAATTAGCCTATTATTTGACCTTTTTTTTTTAAGCAACTTGACTGCTTTAATTACAGGTTGGCAATTGATATAACAGTTGTGTACACTTTTCATTCTGAACATACAAAGTTGATGTTGCCAAATGTGGTGGCGGCTTACAAAGAAAAAAATTTAATAATATAATTTAATACTCTTTGTGATCCTTTAGCTCTTCGGTCAGAGCTTTTTTAAGTTAGCCATTTTTATTAAACTCTATATAATGTTAAAACACAGTGCAAATGCACAATGCAAAATGCATCATTGTTATCCGTCTTTAGATGATTTAATGCAGTTCTTTCATTATGGCAAATCTAGAACGGTTTGACATCTTAATGATAAAAACTCTTGCCATTCTACAACAAACTTCCTACAACAAACATCAAAAGCACTCTTCTGACAATTTAGCAAGATAGACCATTAGTTTTATTTTAGAAAAAAATATATATCAGTTTATTCTCTATCTTTTTGATTTTTTTTTGTGAAAATTCATTCACAGTATAAGCATTTACAGAGAAAGCAACTAATTGCACACGTTCAACTTCCAGCGCACTCATAGCACATGTTCAACTTCTATCGCACTAATAGCAAACGTTCAACTTCTATCGCACTAATAGCACACGTTCAACTTCTATCGCACTAATAGCACACGTTCAACTTCTATCGCACTAATAGCAAACGTTCAACTTCTATCGCACTCAAAGCACACGTTCAACTTCTATCCCACTAATAGCACACGTTCAACTTCTATCGCACTAATAGCACTCGTTCAACGTCTATCGCATTAATAGCACACCTTCAACTTCTATCTCATTTTTTTATGTTCAGCTGTGAAAGCATCGTAAACTGAATAATAGTTTTTTAAAGAAAAATCGGAAAAAAGAGTTCTAGTTTTTTTCCAAATTTCTGCATTTCAGCAATAACTTTAGTTCTTTGCATCCACAGCAGCATCAAAAGTGCCATCAAAGGTTTCAAAAGTGTCAAATAATTTCCTTTACAGCTAAAATGATTTTTCCATGTCATGCTCTCATCAAGATATTCGCCAAAAGAATACAGTTATGATTCATCTCACACTGTAAACTTTGGTAATTTTCATTTTGATAACAACACCGATTATCTTTGTTTTCATCATATTCAAAGCTTTGTAAAATTTTTTTTGTAAAAGCTTTGTTTTTATTTTAGTAATTTAATCCAAGAAGTCTTTACGGTCTCAGAGCACCACGGAATTAGTTTATTTATTATTAAAAACTAGTTTATATAAATTATTCATTTGATGTTATTTTTAGTTTACGAATCAGAAGTCGGCTTAAGAGTTAAGAATATCGAAAAATGATTTGATGTAATATCGAAAAAGGATTTGATTATTTTATTTCGAAATAAATATACTGCAGCCTTTTTCAAAACGCCTTCATATACTTATTACGTATTTCGAGAAAAACGCAATTACAAAAAAAGTCATCAGGAGAAACTCTTTGTAAAACGTTTTTTGAAACGAATAATTTTTATAAAACTTTTGATAGTTTTTCGAAAATATTTATTCAATTATGTTTGTAAACTCTTAAATAAGCTTATTTCATAAAAAATGCAAACTTTTATTAGTTTTAAAAAACGGCTGCTGTAAACCTCTAAGAAAAACTTTTTCTCTCAGGGGTACTCATTTTATTTAAATCTATTTGAGAAAATAATTTTAAACGTTTTTACCTAATTAAATATTAAATAAGAAAAATTTAATCTAACTTTAGTCTAACTTAATACAGTCTCAGAGAGATTCTATTTGAAAAGTAGAAAAGCAACAAAAATCGATTAATAAAAATTTATAAAGTAATCCCTGATACAAAAACTCAATCAGCAACGCAATTTACTTGAAAGAAGAAAGTATTAAGTAAAGTTTCAGCTTTTAACAAGATTTTAAAATTTTGAAATGAACACACATGAAGTAAGTTTTATTTTTAGAGAGAGTGCAAAGCATAAATAATATTTTTTTATTACGTCGTATACTTGAAAATATTAAATAAGTTTGAAGTTTAGAATATTTAGATATAGATTCTGATCTGTATATATATATATTCCTTATTATTTTATATCGTTTTGAAAAAAGTTCCCGAAAATCTAAGTATAATTATTTCTAGATAGTTTGATTCTTATAATAACTGAGACATAAAGGATGTTTTAAAATCATTGAAAAATTAATTACAAACAAGAAAGAAACCTTAATTAGGATGAGAAGATAACTTTAATCCTTCCAAAATTGAAGTGCTACATTCATTGCTTACTTAAAACTACACACTGAAAATAAATGTGTTTTTTGTAGCAATAATCACAGAAGTGAACATTTTGAAACTGGCATTAATATAAATTTTAGGATAAATTATTTGAAAAAAGAAAAGGATTTAAAACCTAATCATCTCATAAAACCAAAAAATTTATCTGGTATTTTGTCGTTTTAAAATCAATAGTTTTCAATATTGACCCTAAAAATAATTTTTAACTTGTTTTAATAAACCTTTTATAAATGAACTTTTAAAAAAAAGTGTACACTTTAGTTTATGTATAAAACTTCTTACGAAATTAGAGAATGATCCTTAACTCCCAAATTGTCAGGGGGTAAACAATGATGCCTTGAATATTAGGGATTTGTATTAATTACAACGTTGAATATTGGGGATATGAATTATTTACATCATCCTGTTTGCGATAAACAAAAAATGGTGACAAAAATAAGACTAATTTCTAATGCCAGTACATATTTGTCAGGTTTTTCTTTAAGTCGCTGTTTCCAGGCTAGGCCTAGGTTTTAAAATACTTACAAATAAATTATTTAAACTTATAATTTAAATGTTATATATTATATATTACTATAGTTAATTTTAATCATAAATTTTAAATGTTAATTAAACCCATTTTTCCGAAACGGGTTCAATTAATTTTGTAGCACTATTAAATATATGTAGCAAATTAAATATTTGTAGCAAATTAAATATATTTATATATTGGATTTAGAAAGTGTTTGTAAATTAAATATATTTATATATTAGAAAATATATTTAAATTAAATGTAAGGAAAGTGTAAATTAAATGTATTTATATATTGGAAAATGTTTGTTTAACTATACTTTATTGTTTGAAGGCAAAAAAAAAAATTGAAAATTTCCAACTTTAATTTCAATCCATTTCCGGGAAGTGGAAATGGATTGAACTTAATCTATTTCCATTTTACGGAAAATGGAAAGTATTTAAAAATTTATCACTTTCTTCAGATTTTTACATGACATTAAATTTATAGTATTACTATTAATTAAATTTGACCTTCTTACAACACTTTACAATCACTTCCCATTGAAAAGTGATTGTAAAATTTCGGGAAGTAAGGTCGTCAAATTGGGAATCAAAAAAAAAAAATTTTTTTTAATTTCACTGTACGACAACGAAAAAAAAACGGAAATGCCATTG